CCTCCCACAAAAACTTTTAAGCCTGGGTGTGTGTGTGTGCAGAATATTAAGAGTTGGAAGGGACCTCGGGGGTCATCTAGTTCAACCCCCTGCCCAAGCAGGAGACCCTACATCTGCCTCTACCTAGGATCGAACTCACAACCTCTTTTGCCAGCATTTTGAAGTAAAAATGCAAACATTCAAATGGACTTGTTTGAATTCCCAGGGATTTTGTTTTCAAAAATGAGCCCGGAAGAGTTCCAAGCATTAGAGTTCCTCTAAAATTTTTTATCTCTAGGTTCACAGCAGAGACCACAATCAGGAAGTCCCACTGAATCTTGGGTAGTATTTTTTTTTTAAAGTCAACCCTATGCACTCTGGGACTTGTAGTCTACTGGAATAGAAACATGACCTGGAATTTCCAAAGGCTGGCTGGAAGAACTATTTTCTGCATTGTTGCAGAATGCATTATTCTGCATTTTCTGCATTCTGCCTTTTCAGTTCTACATTTAGCACCATGCTTTTTCAAATAAATTCATATTTTTTCCCCCAGAAGCATACATTTCCCTCTTCTTAATTCTAATCTTAGATTTAATTCAAGTTCTTAAGAAGAGGATGTAACTGAGCTAGGAGAATTCTTCACTTTGACCTCAGGATTTTAAAGCTTTTTTAAAGATAATTCATATCTCTGATATATGCGGCTCCTGTGATTATGTCAAGCAGGGCGTGTGGGGAATGCAGTGATTTAACAACTGCGATTGGCTTAAAAGCGGTGATACGAAGGTCGTAAAATGGGGCAAAAACTCAGTTTACAACTGCCTTTACCTCGCAGTGAAAATCTGGAGCTGAGTTGTGTTGTCTTTTTCTCTGAATGTGTAGAAGAAAGTTTTGACTGTTTAAAAGTTGTATTTATGTGATGTACCGTCACGATTCTAGCTGCAGTCATCATCATCTTTTAATGAACCCATAATCCCTGTCATCGGGGTGGAGTGTTTGAATGGCCAGATGCCCTTCTTGTCACCAATGCAGAGTTTTGTTCAGCAGATACATTCTCATTGTGCCCAGAGAGAGAAATATCTGCCTCTACCTGGGATTGAACTCCCAGCCTCCTGATTGTGAGGCAAGAACACCACCTCTAGGCCACCGCACCACTTACAATTCTAATTGTAGTATTTTGTGCAAATTCATAAAATTGGATGAACAGAGAAAAGCTTGTGAATATATGATAGGAACCCACAAGCGAAAGCTGTCCAAAAACGACCATTTTTAAAAATATCAGCATCCCCATAGAGGGACGTGGGTGATGGTTAAAAAAATAAACATTTGGGTAGAGATAAACATGCTTTTT